TCAGCGACTTTGCCCAGGTCGGTACATCCTCTACACGACTACATGGTAGCAACTTGAAGAAAATTATTCCTTTTTTTGCTTCCAAGACCTGATATCCTCCTCCATGATGTATCGAGGTGCCGTGACCCGGCTTCAAAGGCAGGGCCTGGGCGAAGAGGTATCCCCGACGGCCAAGACAAGGCCACGGTGGTGAAGACTGTGGTGAGACAGAGCTGACTCCAGCGAATTTGACCAGCCAGGTACACCATCTACACGACTAAACGGTATCAACTTGAACAAAAATTGACTTGTTTTCATTATAGTAGCTTAGTAGTAGTATTGTGAGTGGTCTTGTTTATGTCGAACAATCACTGAACCGGATATGCAGGCCTGGGATAATATATGTGGGGGTCTCGATATTGTTAGTGGACTTGTATATGTTAAGCTTGATGATAAATACACAAATTGTGTAAGACGCACAGATTGTTTGCTTTGTTAAAATCTCATTGACGTGCAAAGCAAGATGCATCGTTGTCTTGGTTTGCTAGGATCCAATTAGCCAACCCAAATTCCATATATAAAACATTAGCAGGATAGTCTGTTTAGTAATAAGAGCCATAGAGTTCATTGTTTTCCAAATAATTTATAACAAACACGATGAATTTAATTAAATGAGACCTAAAAACTAAATTGCTTGATGATTTCCTCATTTGAAATGTTAAAATTGCTAAGCTCAATTATGGCATACTCGCACTTTTAAAAAATAACAATGGCGTCAATCAATTTTATAATTTCAAATGTATCTGGCTGTTGAATATCAGTCTCCTTTTTTAATCAAAATTCTTATACTTTAGTGTTGTGGTGGCTATTTGATTTCACTGTACAAATGTCTGTTTTCAGTGCAAATGATGTCCCTTGATCAACCAAACACGGGTGAATGTAAAATCATGTGGAGCCTTCAAGCCTTCTAATGTAAGAGTATGCTCAACTCAAATTTGATAAGTGAGTCCATTACATCATTCTAATAGGGTCAAGTTACACTTTAATCTACAGGCAAATAATGCAGGAAATGATCGTTGGATTCCATCACTCTATAAATATGTAAAAACATAAAGAACGTGTTTGTATAAATGTGAGAGTAATTTTGAGCATTATTTTGTTTAATACATGTTGAATTTTTCTTGAATGCATGATGAACATATTTCAAAACACATATGCAATTTTTTAATAAGCATGACAAAATTTTAAAAATAAGTTGAGTAGTTTTTTCTTCGGCGGGAAAAAGACATGAATTTGGGAAAAGCATAAAAAGAAACCTTCTGCGGAAAGTAGTCGTGCCATACATTAAGATAAAAAATAAGGCAAACACTTGAAGAGGTAAATAGCAACATGATAAATAGACATCTAGCTCACAAATAGGATTCGTTTTCGTCCAATATACTTAGTCAAAGATGCGATATATATATATATGTCTGGCTCTAACATACCTACTATTTTAGTTTTAGGTTTTATCTATATGTACTGCTCAATAAGAAAACCCATTGCTCTCTCTAATTTTTGTTTTCTATTCAGGAACACATAAAAGATAATCAGCGTTTATTTGCAAGGATGGAATTGAAGGAATCGGCGAGAGAGGCAGATAAAGGAGAATTTGAAACTTATATAATATATGCAAGGTACGTGCCGTATGACAATCATATTTTTATTGACTACTCGCTAGCTGGAATGTGTTTTTTTATTACGAAGAAAACCTCGTATAGTATAGCAGTGTGTGTATGGATGGAGTTATACTATACGAGGTAGTATATGTTGCGAGGCACGGAATATCTGAAAACATCACCTGCCGGTCTATGAGTACTTTGTGAACCTATCATGGTCTAACACAAAAGTATTTTGGTGCACCTGCAGCACCAAACCTGGTCCAAACTAATATGGCCTTCTTCCCGTAAAGTTTAGATGGATGGAAGGATAGATATATAACCAACAAAGCTATGGGATGCCAACATCAATCTATAGCTAGTGGATACCAACCAACATAAATATAAGAGAAAATGTCAACTGATCATCTGATCAGCACGGGCATTGAAACAGATATTTCCTAGAAAGCAACTAAACATCATTTTATTATAAGGTATTTATCGATGCAGAAGTCCTCCTTAGCCACCAATAAATCTCAACGCTGCTCTAACTTGTTCTGGAATGTTATCCTTTGCTTCGTTATCCCTAACCATCAACAGCTGGACCATTAGTCGCTTCTTGAGACTTTGTGGATCCTACAAATTATGCATAAACAAAGTCAAAAGATATATTTAGCAAATATATGCAATCTGTAACCTCATTACAAAATCACTTACGTCAGTCCTAGTCATGTTATGAACCATGTCATTACCGATGGTTTCATACAGATGGGCCATCTCCTGTAGAACTTTGAATCCGGAGTCCATACTGTCACCAAAAGAAACATATTGTATTAGCTATATTAGAGCACGCACTAATATGCAAGCCAAATTTAGAATAGTACCGCCGAGGTGAAACATGAATGTTATCTTGTTCGGGCCATTCCATAAGTTGGCTGTTCCTATCAGGGGCCTCCTGTTGCAATACAGATCTGAATTCTTGCTTCACTAAAAGGGCTTCCCTATGAAGTTCAGTGCCGTGGGGGTCCTCAAAATGAAACACATCCTGGTTCGAATAGTCAATAATGATAGTCCTCTCCATTTCCATGTTCACTGCTAAAAGACCGTAGGACGAATCCACGAGTGACAGTGGTAGAAGATACTACATTTGGTAGACAAACGTAAATGTTAAACAAAGTAACCAACTAATTTGTAAGAATGAGAACACTTACAATTGTAGGGGTGTGAAACACGTCGTATCTTGGAAAAGGCTCAAGCACGACATTGTTAATCAGTGAATTGGTGCGCTGTTCTTGGCATAACAAGGTCTGCCTTAGCGCCCGTGCTTGCACATGGAATCCCAAATTGAAAAAATGTGTCTTTCCAACATAGCTGGTGCCTGCGCTCCTCTCTGCTGCGTCGGTAGTAATCTTACGCACAGCTAGATTGAAGCATAACGGATGGACAAGTCCATCTCCTAGGATGGTGTCTCGGATGATCCGTAGGCTAATCTCGATAGGGAATGGGCGCGGGCTCCTAATCCAGATTGTGCTGTAAAAAATGAGGATCAAGGTTCATACCAATTATATGACTTCGAGTAATCCTAAACTCAAACGATAAAACTGTGTTGCTGTCTATAAGATATGAATAATTAAACAATAGTATATATCACATTAAATGACCTAAAAGATATTGTAATCTCTACCAAGTTAAGTATTTTAATATTATGTACGGGCAATAAACTAACAGATTGAAGTGTTTTCATAGTAGTACATGGACCTGCATAAAAATTGTTGTAGATTTTGGATGAAAAAAATTCAACATGTAGTTTATAGATTGTTCAACATGGTTGTAAAAGGTGTTAGACCCCATAGTTTTGGACCACAGTTTCATACGTATTTCATTTCATACTTATCAGCTATTTATGTTAGACGCCGCAAAACACTGGTTTTAGACACAATTTACCAATACAAATATAATATTTGGTAACAACCACTGAATATGTATTTATATACTTGTATAAGAAAAATAACTACACATTCAGCCATTGTAACAGACGTCTGAACTTAGACAAAAACCACGTGATCCTGACCAGGGTATATCTTCTAATCTAAACGTAAAGTATATATGTATAGGGCAGGAAGATTTTTTATGGGTGTATATCTTCTAAATGCAAAGTATACATGTACATGGCAGTGGACTTAGACGATGAAGAGCAAAAAATATTAGATCTATCGGGCCGTGAGAACTTACTCAAGTAGTTCTTCGTCTGAGGAAAGTGCTATGAAATCTTACACGTAGTCGACTGCGTGTCGCACTCCCCCAAAATTCGCCATTCCTTCCATTGACGGGGCAAAAAGTCGGTCGTCCAACTGGTAAAGCGAGAGAGGAAGGAGCCCGTAGGATTTTATTGAGTAGATATGAGGCCGTGGGGAATTGTGCGACAACAGTTAGGAAGGTGCACCCTGTCCTTCCTGATTTGCATGTTTCCATAAAAAAATACTATCAACAAAATCGGCAAGATATTTGTTTTGATTACACTATGCAAAAAACCAGTAACAGATTAAAAGTTGCCTAAATTACGTCTCCCTTAACCCATAACTTTCCCAAACGAAAAAAATAAATGAAACCGGACTTACTCTGTCGTGAGGAAGTGCAACACTCGATGCCCACCCAGAAAGCGTTGTTGGTTGCGTGTTTTATGGGGCCCAATGTTTGTCCCCCTCTAAATAAATCTCCGACCCCCTGATTTGAATGGTGGGGCCCTGATTTATTTCTCTATCAAATCTACCCCCCCTGATTTCAACTGTGGGGGCCGGTGCCTTTCCTCTAATAAATATTTTCCCCACATTTTTTTTGTGGCGGGAATCAAGCTTACCATTAACCAAGTTGGCAGCGAGGTCAAGGTCGCTGGTGTTAACAGCCTGGACCTAGTTGAGTGAATCTGTCTGAGCTTGCACTCCCGTCATAACCCAGCCGCTTCGGGAAAAATTATCAGGAAAGCGATACGCGCTAATCATGCATTTGGCCAGCAATTATTTATATATCTACGTCACAAGCATTAGGCTTTATTTCTTTAGTGTGAGGAAATAGCCCAGATGGTCTGCCCTGGCCCACTTAAACACAGGGACATATTGTGGTTCCCCTACTAAAGATCGGTATGTGCATAGTCTACTGATGCCACCTCTCCCCCTTGTCCTCTATCCTTGATGCATCATGGCGCCTATCTCCCGCCTCCTCTATTGATTGCAACACTGATTGGGAACCGGAATGTGAAGCTCGATTTCTAGCTTCAGAAGCTACACCCCTCGCCGGAATAAGTTGCTTTGTCATCGGAGCGGTTGAATCCTTGTAGGGTAGGATATATGATTGTGGGTGAGATTGTTTTTTAGCTATCAAATGTGGCTAAATGATCATTGACGTCAGACAAAAATAAATTACCAAAACAACAAACATAACAGCGAAACCAATTTGTAGTAGTACGAAAACTCCAAATAGTTCTTAAATATTGTATAAACCCAAGAACAAAAATTATAGTTTCCATCCATAACCAAACATGACAAGATGGTTGAAGTATTCCTGACGGTTCTGCATGCATAGAAGCATATTTAGTTTTTCAAAACCCTCAAGGCCGCCGTAATCTCCTGAGGGATGTTTCCAGCAGCTAGATTGTCTTTGACCATGAGCATCTGGACTACCACTTGGCTCCTGAGCATAATTGGATCCTAGAAACAATGAAACAAATTCACCATGAAACTCCAAAGTGGTTGGATTATAAGTGGCACATTAAAACTCGTGTAAAGATAATTACTGTAGTGTTCATCCAGGTCATGCTATGCAAAGAACCTAGCTGGTGGGCCATCTCTTGTAGAACTAAGAAACCCGAGTCTTTGCTGTGACAAACGGAATAAAAACATGAGATTTCTACATACTGCATCTTATTCATCTGAAAAATTTATTAAATTACCGCCGAAAATTGAATGACATGTTGTCTTATCGCCAATCCATTAGTTCGGTGTTCCATCCAAGGACCCTAGCTTGCAAAACTTCACTGAGTTCTTGCTTCAAAATAGTGATCTCCTTCATCATCTCTTTGTTGTGAGAGCTATTTCCCACTTGTCGTACGTCTAGTGATGGATTAAATACGATAACCCTTCTCCTCATCCGATTTACCACAAGTAGACCATACGATGAATCCGGGATAGACAACGGAAGTAGATACTACATAAGGTCAACACAGGTTAAATGCTATCAGGAAAGAAAAAATAATTTAGGAATTAAAAACTCTTACAATTGTGGAGTTGAACACATCATATCTAGGAAAGGGCTGTAGAACAGCATTGTTGATCAGCGTCGAGGTGCGCTGCCCTTGCGGCATCCAGGAATACCTTAGAGCTCGTGATTGAGCATGGAACTGCAAGTCAAAATAATGTTTTCCTCCAACCATGTTGGTGCCTGCATGCCTCTCTACTTCAGCGCTAGCAAGCTTACGAACAGCGAGATTAAAGCAATCGGGATGTAGACTTGCGGACGTTACAAATAGTGTGTCCTTCAGCATTCTGAGGCTGATTTCGATCCGGTACGGTGTATCGCTTCTTATCCAGATAGAGCTGCACGTAAAAATCCATAAATATGGTTAGCACTATGAGTGGTACTTTAAAACATAAAAATGTTCATATGGTAACATTTTCTAGATAATCTAATAGCTATGAGCAGAACGTAATATTTTGTTAAACTATAGAGCATGTAAATGTTTGCAGCACCTTTTAGCAGAAGCTAAAATTAAATAATAACTTCTCTGTAATAACAATATTAATTTGTTAGAAATTAAGAGCAGGAAAATGTAGGTAGCACCCATTATAGCAAGTTTGCTGGCTGTTCAAAAACAATATTAAATTGTTGTACAATATAGTAAGGACACTAAGTTGTTCAACATTTTGTTATTCATTACATACGGTAGATGTGCAACGGACATACTGCCAAAACATTTAACAAAAAAAAATTATACAGCTGGCGGCAAAATTTAAGATTTAATCTAAAGACGAACAAATCAAGTACATCCTATATCAAACAGAGTCTGCTGTGTACGACCTAGTTCTAATAAGATTTCTTTAGACAAAATAAACATACAATAGCATATCTTACTCTAGTGTCTGCTCATCATGAACGCCGTTCATGAAGCCGAATATATATTCGAGTGCATCTTCCACGAAATGCCTGGGTGGGGGCAGAAGATGCAGGGGTGCGGGCAAATCCTCCTGGGGGTCGCCCACAACATCGTGGAGCTGCAGGGCAGCCTCATTGGGGTCGGGGCCAGCGGCATCCAGGGGCATGGGCACAGGAACCTCCTGGTATGTGCGCGCTGCCACAACCTGGATCGCCGGCGCATTGTTTCTAATGATGGGCTCCATCGCTGATCGATACGCGTGAGTGATCGTTCGCCGAGGTGTCTTAGCAATTAGGATGTCTATGCAACATATATATAAACGGATATATTATTAATGCTTTTTATTGCCTGCCAAATATATCAAGTCGTTTTTAAGACGTAGATGATTCTTCCTAATTATAAAAAGACGTGACGGGGCGTATCAGATCTTGCTCCTTTTTATAGTTGAATATTTTGTTCCTATGGCATGCCATATTTACAGTTCAATCTGAACGAATCGAAAAAAAATACCTTTGTCTAAAACTAGATATCCCAAATTAAGTACGCGTACAAACATTACATATACTGCCATAAAGTTTCTGCGTGGGGCATTGCCATGTGATTTTATTTTAGCGCTGATGTTGATAAGTAGGCATTGCCATGTTAGTTATATATAGTTTGTATTGCCAATTATGTAGTTCATGACTTTACTGTTATAATTGACGTTGACGCACATGAGTTATAGGGTGTGTCTCAAAACAAATGTTTAATATATAAAAAACAAAAAAAATTATTTAACCCTATATAAATCATCCAATGCATTTAATAGATACCGTATTGCCAAATAGATAATTCTCAGTACGATGCCTAACAAAGATGTAGTAGCCATTTATTTGCGACATACGAAAATGCAATCGGCCATATTCAGTCGTATAAAACCCTCAATGCCTCTTTAATTTCATCTGGTATGCTTCCAGCTGCTTCATTGTTTTTTATCGTTAGCATCTGGACCAGCAGGTTCTTTCTGAGCTGTATTGAATCCTAGAGAAGATGGAAAAATAGTAATTTATAAATTGCTCGAAAATAAATCGCACGATATACTTCGTTATTGTGTACTTACGCGAGTGGTCTTCCTACCTGAATCAGTAGTACCATTCTGGTGAGCCATCTCCTGTAGGACAAGTAAAGCGGAGTCTTTGCTGTTACAAAAAAAAAATAACAATATTACAACTATAACGGTCTGCTTATAACGTGTGCGATCGATTTACTATATTACCGCCTGCCGTTTGAAGCGATGTCGTGCGTTGACCAGTCATCGAGATTGGAATTCAAACCAGGGATCCTCATCTGCAACACATTGTTGAATTCTTCTTTCAGCATTGTGATTTCCTTCCCCGTCTCAGTGTTATGAAAGTTGTATGGTCCACCATATCCGTCGATTGATGGATCGATTGGGAGAACCATCCTAGTTTCCATGTTGACTACAAGTAGTCCGTACGAAGAATCCACGGAAACAAATGGTAGTAGATACTGTCGTCAATAGACACATGTTAGTACAAAATAGAATAAGCAAATTAAATTTTAAGTATGAGTATCTTACAATGTTAGAGTTGAAGACATCATATTTAGGAAACGGCCGAACAATGGCATTGTCAATCAGCACCGCGGTGCGTGTTTCTTGATCCATCGAAGAGTATCTGAGGGCCCGTGCCAGAGAATGAAACTGCAAGTCGAAAAAATGTTTGTTTCCAAGCATTCTTGTACCTGCGGTGCTCTCTACTTCAGCGCTAACAAGCTTACGAACTGCTAGATTGAAGCACTCAGGATGAATTATTCCTAAAAGGCTAATTGTTTCCTGGAGCATCTGTAGGCTGATTTCAATATGATATGGTCGTTCGCTTCTAATCCAAATTGTGCTGCCCAAAAAATGCAGACCAATCTTACCAAAAAACATCCAACCATCTCTGTATCACATTTAGACTAACTATTTTGTATAATACAAAGCAGTGAAAAAAAGTTACTTAATTGAAAACACGCTAGCTCTTTTGCCTGTTAGCTATTTTATCTTTAATAATGTTATAGATAATAAAAATAACATGGGATACAGAGTCACCCATAAAATATTTAACAACGGTTAAACAGTGCAAAATATATATACACTAAAATATACAACACCTAGACAACCAAACATAATATAGTTATTTATTATGGTAAATTATGTCTAGCTTGCTGTGTTGCCCAACTGATATCTAGACTGATGTGTACGAGATTAATATGAAGAGCATTACAACTTACTTTAGTGCCTCATCGTCCTGGACAACAGTGATAAATTGAAAAATGTATTCAACGGCATCTTCTACGGCATTAACGTTGCCCGCAGCCTCCTGAGGTGCGGGAAAAGCCTCTTGTGGTGCGAGCTGAACATCAACTGGCTCGTGCACAACCTCCATTGATGAGAGTCGTGAGTGATCGAAAATTGGTGAAGACTCGGGTGGGTGTTGAAACAGGAGCTCCTGTTTGGCAGCTGCATCATATAGACTTATGTGCCTTCCAAAAAATACGGAAACTTCCATTGTTGAAAGCCAAATAATAATCAAACTTTTAATTACGCCTGATTTTCAGCATCGGATGGTACCTAAGGCCGATGGAAAGTGCCCGTATCATTCCATCCATGCATGTCTATATTATTCATTTCCTAGTATAAAATAATTACAGCTTTTGGACGGATCATATCTTGCGCGCTGCCAATTAGGATGTTGAAGCAGCATATATATAAACGGATATATTAGTAATGATTTTTATTGCCTGCCAAATGTGTCCAGTCGTTTTTAAGATGTAGATGATTCTTTCTAAGTATAAATAAAAGTGACGGGGGCGTATCAGATCTTTCTCCTTTTATTATAGTTGAATATTTTGTTCCAGTTCAATCTCAACGAATCGGAAAAAAACAACATTTGTATAAAACCAAATATCCCGAATTAAGTACACTTAGAGTTGCCAAGAAAAAAGATAATACACTTTAAAAGAAATGTTTGTTCTGTGAGAATACATTATTATTACAAATGTAGATAAAAGGACCGAGGGAAACGAGCTTTTGATTGAGCCGTGTTGAAAAGCAAATTCATTTATTGTCCATTTTTCCAGGCTACAACTGCAGCATTGACATATGATACTGTTTCGTCAAGTGTCATTAAGCAGGCTTCGTGGATATCTACGAAAAAACAATTTGTTAGTACTGATAACATCGTAGTACAGAAAAGAACAAAAAAGCCATACAAATCAAAATAGTTTATAGAATTCACCTTGAAGATGATGAACATCATCATTAATGTCGGGGGAGAACAAGAATGTGCTCTCCCTCATAGTCTCCATGCACTTATCCCTACGGTGAACTTGTATGTACGTAACTGCCATTTTCTCGAACAAATTATCAGTGTGCTGCAAGTGGTACAAGTGACGACCAGCATGCTCTTGGCTTAGGCGTATAAAAAGTATCTCCCGCCTGCAATGATAAAGATATGTTGTTGGTAGGCAACTATCAAATATTAATAATCATATAAAACCTCAAGTATGGATTGGAGTTTACCGAAAATTCATGATGCCTATCTCAACAAAATGGACCTGGCGACTATATACTGAATCCCACCTATGTTGTATCCTACCAGCATAGACAAGAATACCAAGAACATCTGGAAAAAATTAAGTCTGGGTGAGACAAAATGTAAAATCGACAAATATGCAAAAACAAACTAAAAGATGTTGCACCGGTAATTTGTTTGTCCCGTAGCAAGGATATGGCACCAAGTTGTGGGAAAAAAGGTGGACAAATTGTCGATGCAATACTGTGCACCGATGTCCTAACCATGGTTATATCATTTAGTTGAACGACAAACTCCTTGCATAGATACCAGAAGTGACCATCTAGCATTTCCGTGGGGTTTATCCCGAAGCTACTGAAGTCATAAGTTAGCCCGGTCTGCAGAATGGCGTTGAATCGATAAGCTTGGTTGCTGAATGCAATTGCTTCAATCTTTGTTCCCTGTAAATTTTTTAAAAATCAGATAACAATACTTTAGAACACATGTGTATATACATTAAAAAAAGGTTGCTATATTTATTGATCACTAACTTCCTGGTCCAGAAGTATGCAACGAAAGTATGGGTTTCCCATTGCATGCACCCTGATATGGGACTTCCACATCACCTTAGCTCGAATGATCCAACATCTTTGATAGATATGTTCCATCTGTACACTTTGAAAATTCAAGAACCTACATAAAATAACCCTAAATGATTGGATCAACAAACGGTGATCTCAGATAAGCGTGCATGAAGATCTGTACATTTGCCTGTTCACCGGAGGGATGGTAGGCAGAGGCATGATGGTATCCGGTGGATTCGCCATCACCCTCCTCGAGGGCCTCGAGCTGTACGATATCACCATGGTGAGGGAGCTAATGGATGAAGAGTTAAAGAAAGATAGAGGGGCGCACGGGCACGGGTACTGGAATTTATATATATAGTCCAAGGGGCCAACAGGCGGGATAATCAAAATTCTTTTAATATTTGAATGTGGCCGTCTAGCGAAAAAAACCTCTACTATCGAAACTATTATAAATAGTATGTTCTGGGAGTTCTTTGGCAACAAATAATTTATTGCTAAAACATTTTCAATCAATTAATTATTTATAGAAATTTGAGATTCTTAATCTGATCGAAATCATGTCAAATATCTCACCAGTATCATTGTTTCCTTTTCGCCTGTGAATACGATATATTCAATATAACAAACTGCGGGAATATAAAGATGACTTCAGATTTTTATTTAGGAACGCAATAATAGGATATATCAAAATAATTAAGGTGATAGTGCGTTAAGGTAAGTGTAGTCACGCAATTAATATATTACCATGGATTCGCCAATATTTCGTCGATTAAATATTTTACCATTAATTACCAACATGATGCAATTTTAAAAATCGATTATTTACTCAGCTATTATTATACTACATATGTTATTTTCTAAAATCCCAACAAATTTGATTTTATTACATGTGATGAGACGTCGTTTTGTTACTTTGCAACGACTATTTTATGGGCATTTTAAAATAGTAACAAAAAATTAAATTGAAGTTAGTAGCAATAGTAATAATTAGTTTAGTCGGTCTTTGATGGCTTAATTTGTTGGTCGCGATTGCATGCACAACTGAGTATGCGCGTGAAAAGCTAACTTCGTACCTTTTTTTAATTGGCGTGTCTCTTTTA